AGATGGAGAGAGATGAGAGAGAGAGAGAGAGAGAGGGAGAGCGAGAGAGAGAGAGAGAGAGAAGAAGAGAGAGGAGAGAGGAGAGGAGAGAGAGAGAGAGAGAGAGAGAGAGAGAGAGGAGAGAGAGAGAAGGAGAGACATACATAGGAAACTTTCCTCTTAGGTTACGTACCCAATACGAGAGAACCTTATGGCACGCATCCGCCGCAAAGTCTTTTCAATTATTTTTTCTCCATCACCTTACTGCTGGACGATGCTGCGCCGTAGGTCATTCGCGTTGGTTTGGGGCTCGGTAGGCTGGTTTTTCTAGAATATTCCAGTTGAAGAAGTCCATGGGGCTCGGGTCGGGACTAGGTCTCGCCCAGCAGTCCTTGGACCAGCGACAAATCAGCGGCGTCAGTGGTAAATAGGGCCATCACCCAGTGGTGATCCCAGGAGAAAAGGACCGGCCGATGTGGGCCGAGCCGTCCTCACATTTCAGGTGTGTAGTGAGGACAGCAGACGAACATATACAAAATAAGCTACTCTGTCAGAATTTGAAACAACTTGTGATATATATGCAAAAGTTGGCATTCCTATGCCAGGCCGTTTTGAAATAAAGTGATACTGTCAATGGGTAGATCTTTCTGGCGCACTCTGGATGTAAGTAAGCACCTGCTATAGGTCTTATTTGTGTACGGTCGTACTGACCAGCATCAGTAGGTACCCATTCTCTTGAAGAAGGCTTATTTCTGTTTACATGGCTCCATTATAAATGACCGCTGCAAATGGTCACTTTTTAAAACATTTAGGTATGGGTTACTTTTGGAGGGGACGTCCCGCGCCGGATTCTTCAACTGGGGAAACGCGTCCCCCCCCCCCCCCGCTATCGACGTTCATGGTGTGTAACTAATATATCGGTACATTCTTGCCGAGATAAACTGTTTCATTTTCAATGGCTTGGACGGATACTATAGGAGACTGGAGATAGGAGATAGGAGACTGAGAAAGAAAGTAAAGCTAGGTGAAAGGCTCGTCGGAGCCCGTATTGCCCTGCGCCATTTCCCGTTTTAACCCACCGGTGGGGCAAAACGGAAAAACTGCATGACCTGTTTAAAAAAAGTTTTAAATGAGACTGAATATCAGGTCAGGTAAATGCACTGGCACTTTATCAGCAAGGCATCAAAGTCTCGCTGGGCACCATTAACAGTAGTTTTTCTTCATTCTTTAACCCTCGCCGGCCGAGGGGGAGGGCTGGTGCCGCCTAGTCATAGGTTTTTTTTCGCGATAGTTCCAAACACGCTGGCGATAGAGAGCTGAAACCTGGCATACCTGACCTTTGATTCAAGCCGGATCTTCTGACACCAACCGAATTTTCGGGTCAGGTCGGTCACTGACCTATGACGTCATAAGTGAACCTCTGCACGGTCTTCAGAAGTCGCAACTTCGCAACGCCCTTACTGCCAGAGGAGCTTTCACAGGGAAATTGAACTTTCAGGATCTACATAGTATCAATTAAGAGTCTCACAACTTGTTTATCTCGGATATCTTGTGAGGGTCATATGAGGTCAAGTCATTTTCGTGACATTATAAGCCAATGGGGAAAAATGAAAACTGCTATTTTGGCGCCGATAACGATCTCATACTATCTGAACCGCACTGAATCGTGATTTTATGCAATCCTTGCAAGTTTCGATGCTTCACTTTTGCATTGTTGACCTTGTGTGACATAATTTATGACATCACTAGGATTGTAAGAGTTTTCGGTCAATAACTCCTTATCAAATTGAGCTAGCAAGTCGGAAAAGCCACCAATGGACTCGGGAAGACCAACCGAATCGAACGATATGCAACATGACCTCCTGCGACCAAGTTCGTGATCTGGGGGGCTCCGACCTGACCGTGCTCCGAGATCAACACCTAAAGTTGACCTCACTGTTTGTGTGCTTGCTTATGGCTTGATGAACCCAGGGTGCAGACGCCACCAGTACCAGCCGAGAACTGTATTCAGCGAGCGGGGCGGCGGTGGCCCGGGCGGCCACAGCCCAGACTGCATACGATACCGGCGCCGGCTCAGCGGCGGCTCTAGGCTATAGAGCGGGGTGTGACCACAGCAGCCACCACGATACATCTCCCCCTCTTACGCGACTGCTAATAAGATCTACTAGAGAATGCTAAGCTGTACTCCAAGCACAAAGCTGGTTTTCTTAAACCCCGAAAATCCGACCGCTGCGAGTTTTACGAGGGCTAACGTGTACGGGGTCGTCAGCGGGCTGCACTGATAGTGGAGCGGGTGCCAGCGGAGACGTCGCCGGCTCAGGCGACGGCGCAGCTGGCGGAAGCTGCTGTGGTGGTGGTGGCGTCACCACCGGGCGTGGTACTGCCACGGATGTCGGCGGCACCACCGGAGGTGGCACTGGTGCTGCCCGTTGCACGGTTCCGTGCTGTGCCGGGACCTGTAACGGAACAGGAGGGATCAGCAGCAGGTGCCGTCGGTTGCGGCGATATTGGCAGCCGCCGAGCTCCACCAGATAGCTGCGTCTGGAGAGCCTTTGCGTGACGATGGCGGGCTCCGACCAGCTGCCCTTTTCTGTCTTGATCCGGACTCTGGCGCCGGGATGCAGCGGAGGCAGGTTGCGGGCGCCTCGCCTCTGATTGACGGTTGACTCCTGTTTCTTCTTTCTCCGCCCATCGCGGAGTTTGGCGTGCCGCCATGCCTTCTTGGCGGGCTGCTGAGCGACGGGGAGACGGGACTGAAGCTCACGTCCCATCAGAAGGCGGGCCGGGGAGTATCCAGTGGCTTCCACAGCCGTTGTTCGGTAGTTCAGGAGAGCGAGGTGAGGATCTTTTTGGCGAAGTATCCACTTTGCGGTCCTCACGGCCCGTTCAGCTGCTCCGTTGGATGATGGCGTGTGCGGGTCAGTGACGCGGTGTGTGAAGCCGTACGACGCTGCGAAGTCGGCGAATGAGCTGGAAGTGAACTGCGTTCCTCCGTCTGTTGTCATCAGATCCGGTATCCCCAGTCTGGAGAACAGGCGCTTCAGCCGCTCGATGACTGCGGTGCTTGTGAGGCTGGGCAGGCGTTGAATTTCCAGATACCTGCTGAAGAGGTCCACAGTCACGAGCCAGTTGCTGTTGTTGAAGTGGAAGATATCTGCTGCGATGTGATTCCACGGTCTTGACGGCGTTGGAGTCGTTACCAGTGGCTCAGCGTGCTGGGAGGGCGCGTGCACTTGGCAGAACGCGCAGTGCTCGACGTGGCGCTTCAAGTCGATGCTGATCTTGGGCCACCAGACGGATTCTGCTGCTCGCTGGCGGCACTTGTTGAGCCCGAAGTGACCGTCGTCATGTAGACGGTTGAGCATCTCTTCACGCAGACTAGGCGGTATGATGATGCGGCGGCCGTACATCAGCAGTGTGCCGCTTGTCAGGTAGAGAACGCTGATTTCTCCACGCGCGGCGAAGTAGTCCAGCATGTCGGAGTGCTTTGCTCCCTCCTTCCAGCCAGAGAGAGTCTGCTGAACCACGCGCTGGAGGAGTTCATCTGCCTGTTGTGCCCTGCTGATCTCCACCAGACGCTGCGGTGTGGCGGGCAGGTCATCGAAGACCCTCTTGCAGAAGTTGTGGACGTCTTCCTGTAGCACAGCGCCGATCGCATCGTGCTTCTGGAGTGGATGACGCGAGAGGAAGTCAGGTACCAGGTGCTGCTTCCCTGGAATGAACACCGCTGTTGCGTTGTAACGCATCAGTCGCATGAGCATGCGCTGACACCTGATTGGCGCATCTACGAGATTTTTCGTGTTGATGAGCGGGATCAGTGGCTTGTGATCCAGTTGTAGGTCGAACGACGGCAGTCCAGACAGGAACATGTGCATCTTCTCGCACGTCCAAGTTGCAGCGAGTAGTTCCTTTTCAATCTGGGCCCACCTCGTCTCTGTGTCCGTCAGACTTCTGCTGCAGAATGCGACGGGCTTGAAGCTGGAACCATGCTTCTGAAGGATGCATCCTCCGATTCCGTAGCTGCTTGCGTCTGCGCTGACCACTGTCTCACGCGCTGGGTCGTAGAACGCCAGGACTGGAGCGGACGTGACGGCTGCTTTCACATCATCCAGTGCTTGCTGCTGCTGAGGCGTCCAGTTCCACGCAGCGTCCTTTTTCAGCAGATCGTTGAGGGGCCTTAGGCGCTCCTGGATGTGCGGGACGAACCTGCAGAGGTAGTTGACCACCCCTAGCAGAGACCGGAGCTCTGTGACGTTCTTTGGCTGCTGGAGCTGCTGTATCGCTTCAAGTTTCTCGTCGTCCACGCCGATGCCATTCTTGCTTATCTTCATGCCAAGAAACTTGACCTCGTCCCTTCGGAACTCACATTTCGTCTTGTTCAGCTTGAGGCCAGATTCGTGGATTCTTCTGATGACGGCTTCGAGGCGTGCGTCATGGTTGCTTGCATCTCCAAAAACCAGCGTGTCGTCCATGTAGACGATGACTCCAGGCAGTCCATCCAGCATCTCCTGCATCTTTCGCTGGAAGCACTCCGGAGCCAGTGAGATTCCCATCGGCAGGCGCAGGAACCTCTTCCTGCCGAACGGTGTGATGAACGTAGTCATTTTGGAGCTTGCTTCGTCCAACGGGATCTGGTAGAAGCCAGAAGAAGCGTCCAGCTTGGAGAACAGTGTCGCACCGCCCAGCTTGGACGTCAGGTGCTCCAGGGTCGGGATCGGGAAGATCTCACGCTTTACGGCTTGGTTCAGCTTTTTGTAGTCAACTGTGATCCGGACACCACTGTTCTTCGGGACAGGGACGAGCGCGGATACCCAGTCTGTGGGTTCAGTCTCTGGTACGATGATGCCCTGCTCTTCCATTCTCTTCAGCTCCTCCTCCACTGGCTTCATCAGCGGCAGGGGGACGTGTCTTGCTGTGGAGAGAGCGACCGGGACGGCATCCTCGCGTAGCCGGATGCTGATCGGTGCCGTCTTCATGAGACCTGCTTCTCCGAAGACGTCTTCATGCACCTCTCCTGTGAACTGGAGAACACCCAGACGCGAGCACGCCGACCGGGAGAGGAGGTTATCTGCTGAGTCCACTACATAGAACACCTCCGACTCCGCTTTGCTTTTGAACATGATTGTCCCATGCAGCTTTCCTTTTACGGTTAGCACGCCACCGACGCTAGTGAGCGTGCTTGAGGCATGCTCAAGGGAGGGCAGGTTCAGTCGCTGGTAGGTTTTCAAAGACAGAATGCTAACGTCGGCACCAGAATCAACTTTGAACGTGACCTCCTGACCGCAGAGACTGACTGTGATTCTCCACGGCGCGCACGCTTTGTCGATTTCGCCAACGAAAGCATCATGTGGCGCTAACGGCTCGCTTGATTCTGTACGCTCTATCTGCCTGACGCTAGGTGATCGGCAGACGGCTGCGAAGTGATCCATTTTCTGACAGTTGGAACAAACTTTTCCCTTAGCGGGACAGTCCCTCGGTGAAGCATGCCGCTCTCTCCCGCAATACCTGCATGTTGTTGCAGAGTCGATGTGACGCGCTTGCTGTCGTGGTTGCGTGACAGTTGACTGCTGCTGTCGCCCGTGCTGCTGGCGCCGTTGGTGCTGCTGCTGATGGCCACGCTGGCGCTGACGGGCGTGCTGCGGCTGCTGGCGCGGCTGTCCGTACTGCGTCGGTGCTTGAACTCTGTTGACATCAAATGGACCGGAGCTGTCACGGCTGCTTACGATTTCGACGTTACGCATCATAGTAATGACGGTATTCATCGACACCTCTTCCTCGAGCGATTTGAGCTGGATCTTGCGGGACAGCTCCCTGTCGGACATCCCGGATATGAGACGATCCCGGATCCGCTCGTCAGCGTCTGCAAAGCCACAATGCTCGGCGAGAGAGAACAATGCCCTGATATACGATTCGTTGGTCTCGTGTGACCCTTGGCAGCGGAGCTCGAAGTTATGACGTTCTGCAACGAAGTTCCGTCTCGGAATGAAATACTCGTCTAGCTTGCTCTGCACAAAATCAAAATCTTTGCTTTGCTCAGCAGTTAGCTTAAAAGTTGACACGATATGCTCGGCCTGCGGGCCCATGCTATAGATCAACGCAGCTACTTGTACATCACCGTCCTCCTTGTGAAGTCCCGATGCCAGTCGGTAGCGGATGAAGCGATCACGCCACGCCGGCCACTTCTCAGGAGAGGTGAAGTCAAAGTCCTCTGGTGGATGGAAACCAGGCATCTTGAGTGACGATGCAGCACAGCAGCTACACGAAGGTCTTCAACAACGGCTGATAAAAATCACAATAATTAGATGCACGCTTCACAAAAAAAGTCACTAACGCTTGCTTATGCTTGCTTGATGAGTGGCACGGCAAGTTCAGAAGGCAGGCTGCGCCATGTTTGTGTGCTTGCTTATGGCTTGATGAACCCCAGGGTGCAGACGCCACCAGTACCAGCCGAGAACTGTCTTCAGCGAGCGGGGCGGCGGTGGCCCGGGCGGCCACAGCCCAGACTGCATACGATACCGGCGCCGGCTCAGCGGCGGCTCCAGGCTATAGAGCGGGGTGTGACCACAGCAGCCACCACGATACAGACACCCACGCCAAAACTATGTCATTCGACGCGCCTGAGCAAGGCGAACACGATGCTGTCAAAATCGCGGGTCTGCGATCATGTTTTACGAAGTTACCTATTCGCCAAAAACCGAATCCGTTCCATCCCACATTGACATTAGTTTTGAGCTGAGATACCCAAATTGGGGTCCCTGGCTTGCACTTGGCGGCTGGGGCACTGACAACATCGAGAAAGGCTTTAATTTGGAGATATTTAATTTCCAAGTTGCAGCACTTCGGATTCAGAGAGGCTAATGCATTTGAATGCCCCCTCTAAATTTGTGACGTCAGCGCAGTTCTAGCGATTTTAAAATCTTATATTTACATCTTTGTTAAGCGGTGGTGGTATATGCTTTTTGCCGGGAACATCTGCCGCACTCTAAAGATACCAAATTTTTGCTTCCAAATGATGTAGGAACAGCGAAGGTTTTGAAAAATAAACAAAAGTAATTGTCTAATAGGTAGCTAAAAACCGGTTAATATTTTTCAATGAAACTTGGTAGACATTCATTTTGCTCACCCTGAACCATGCAACACCACTTGTATGCCGATTCGTTAACTTTTTTGAAAGTGGGAACTGGGAGCCGGGAGGGTTCCTTTAACCCGCGCCCCACTGGGGTCTGTGTATAAAACGCCCTACTGGGGGGGGGGGCTATTCATAGCCCCCCCCTCCTAACTCCGAAACTACTGGGCCGATCGTCAAAATTCAAACGGCGTCTGATAGCCCCGGAAAAACTGTCGAGCGAAACCTAATTTCATTGACCTCGAGGTCACCGATGACGTCACAGGTCAGGTCAAAGTAAAAATTATTAGCATTTTGGTTTGTTCACATTTTGGGCTCTGGCCGCCGTCTTACAAGTCAGATCAGGCTCATTTTTGGTACACACACTCTTGAACAGATGCTCTAGATACCCTGAGGGTACCAAACTTTTACTTTGATTTTCAGGTCAAGGTCAGGTCATCACAGGTCACGAAAATATTTTATCATGCGTCGGTCACGTGACACATGTTTTATGGTCTATTTAGGCCATAGATTTCGAATTTGATGTCGTCTGTGTCATTCGAGGTCATTTTGAGTCGAATTTAGCTTAGGTCAGGTCACTTTCAGGTCAAAAAAGGTCAAATTTTGAAGTTGAAATTTTTCAACAAAAAAGGTGTCTATTGGATGCAGTTTGAGCTGAGGAACACGATGGTGCCATTTATATTGGTGTACGATGTCAAATACGTACTGAAAAATTGATTTGAAAAATTAATAATTGTGAATTTTTTGCAATAATGCGTATAACTTGGCCATTTTTGAAGATATTTAGCTAAAACTTGCTAGCGTTAGTCATAATCATGCGTTCTGTCACATATATTCCGGTTTTTTCGAAACAACAAAAACTTTTTGAAAAAATATAAAAATATAAATTTTGAATATTATTATATAAAATTTTCGAAATTTTGAAAATTTTGAAAATTCGAGATAGCAGTTTGATAGCGCGGTCAATTCTGAGTGCTTTCATGCAAAGAAAATGGATCTAGCTTAAAAACTGAGCTCTTGGGAGCGATTGCCGTGGTTCAATGTTTTGCGTCGAAATCGGGCGAACATGACGTCACTCTGACGTCATTTCCGGCCAACCTATGGTAGCTACGAAGTTTAAATTTTGACACAAGGTGTCAAATTGATGCAGCCGAAGGTACTGAAAGTTTGGCGTCGATCCGTCAAGCGGTTTGGAAGTTATTGCAGAAAAACGGGAGGGGGGGCTATAAATAGCCCCCCCCCAGTGGGGCGCGGGTTAACGGAAAGGACTTCACCCGTAACCCACGAAAACATAAACATGCGATGGTCTACCTACACTCTACAGTCTACACTCTACATATATGTATGTTAGGCTTTATGTCTCATTTCATCCTCAGTCATCTCGATATCAGGCAGCAGTCCGCGTGGGAAGCCCACCTACTCCCGGTCGGGGACGGGTTTGTCAGTTGTCGCGGAGGATGATTAGGTGACGTCTTTTCCCTCAGTATTTATCTCTGTTCAGAAGTTGAGTGGGTGATAAATGCCTCCGCGCAGTTCAGCATCTTATCTATGATCTCTGTGTTGTCACAGTTGTCAGTGTGAAGCCGTATAGGTCACAGTCGAAAGATTAGCAGCCACCTCAATTGTTTGAGCACCGCGCTGCTACGTGATTATCAAGCCTGATAAGCCGCCCAAGGCTTTTCAAGGACACCCCAAAAAAACAAAACGGAATCACTTTCTTCCATTTCTTACACACCTGTAAAATTGTGAGCTCCGAGTCACATTAAAAGAAGTGGACTCGACTCAAGAAAAGGGTGAATTGTTATTTTAGCTTGATGCCACCCGAACTTACAGGTAGGTAGGTACAGTTGACTATCAGAATAATGTCCCACTCCTCAGAAGCTAGCAGTTGACTGGAGCGCTAACAGTAACATGTGCCGTTTATCACGAAATAAAGCGTGTCTATTGTTAGCATTGGGTCACAGCAGTAAACTGTGAACTCAGCCCGTGTGATGCGGCACAGCCTACCACTCCAGGCAACTAATTGCCCGTGAAATGTGGAACATCATTCTGTAGCAAACTGTACATATACCTACTAACCTTATAGCGCATAAGTTACATATGTAGATTAACTCTCGCCGGCCGAGTGGGTTGGTGGCGCACGTCTGACGGTTTTACATAATTACTCGAAACACACGCAGTCGAAACACGCGTCGCGGCGCTTAGACTGGCATCGTTTATTTATCTGAAATTCCCTAACTAGTGCTGAGTGTTGTGGGCTAACTAGTGTTGTGAACCTATAGATAAATTATCCATGCACCTGAAACTCGTCGCTAGAAGCTATTGGATGGCAAACAGATCAACTTTGGAGGGCCTGAGGGCCACAATTTGAGAATTAGCAATTTTGGGGTGAATGGCTTCGGATCGGGGCATCAGCCACCTTCACGTTACACTGAATACCTAACTCCGGAATTTTGGAAAAAAACTGCTAATACCCTTAACCCGGCCGGGCCCAACCAGGGTAATTACCTGGCCGGGCCCAACCCGGGTAATTACCCGGCCGGGTAATCCCAGCCACCGCAGCCCCGGGGGAGGGGCGTTTTTGCCCCCCAGTCTAACTCCACAAATAAGGGAGCTAATAAGGTCTAACTCCACAAATAATAAAGCGATACCAAACGAAAGGTTCTTACGAGACGATTCTAAAGTACTTAACATTTTTGACCTCAGGTCAATTTTCAAGGTCAGAGGTCAAAGGCAAAGACAAAAACCGGCACATGTGTAGTGATCTCAAAGTAAGCGTTCTAACGGACGGCAAGATGCATAAAACCGGCAAACTTGGGTGTCCAACGAAAGAAGAGAATTTGAGAATTCCGAAAATGTGCTCAAAATCAAAGGGCAAGGTCAAAGTCATGCTCAAAATTGACCTCAAACTTTGCATTTTTCGTAAATCTTGCGTGCTAACTTCCAAGATGTTTTGAAATGTTTTGACGCTTATCAGATCCCTATTTGTGGTTCATCTTACGATACAAGGCTGCTCAAGGTCAAGGTCACAGAAGAGTGTCCTTGCTAGAGGCTATTTCACAGCACTGATTCAAATTCGTAATAATAAATAAGACAATTTTGCCATCGGGAGGCTCTAAATGAAGGATTAGAGGAAAACATATGTCAAATTCGTGATCAGCGGGTACGAATCCATTATAAACGACCTTACATACATGTCAAGGTCAACCAAAGGTCATTCGAGGTCACATGAGGTCAACATAAAACTTGACTCTTTCCAAACAAAATATATATCATTCGACGCGGCTTGATAAGGCAAATGCGATGGTACCACTGCCGTATAGGGCCATTTTTGTCGAAGTTATTTGCGAAAAACTAAAACCACATTTTGGGGTCGTTGACCTGACCCCTGACCTCAGGTCACCAAAAATATTTTTCCATTTTTCTCTAGGTCAAACGCTACACAACCGTGCTCGTAATTTGTCTTTATCTCTAAAACTCTATTTTTAGCAGCTATTTGAAGTTCGCGTCTGTGACGCCGAAGTTTGCCGTGCAAGGGTGTAGCAAAAATCGACCCTGTGACGTCATCAAGGGGCTAGGTTCAAATTTTTTACTTCAGAAGATGTCAAATTGATGGGAGAAAAGGTACTGAAAGTTTCGCTTTCCTATCCCTAAGCGCTCGGGAGCTATCGCAAATATTCGCCAGGGGGGCGAAAACGCCCCCCCCCCCGGTCCGCGAGAGTTAACTTTCGCTCGTATTGGTGTTTTGCCAGCAGCGAGCGTAATGGGGGGGGTCTATTGTTCTGCCCCCCCCCCTTGCCGTTTGGTCCCTGATTGAGCTAGAGCTAGAGCTTCGCGGAAAAAGCGAGCGTGTTGCCCGTGACGAGAGAAGGCCGATGATACTCATTTTTAAGGTCCTAGGTCATTGGTTGACCTTCCAGGTCAGGTCAATGACCCAAAAGTCGGGAAAATCGGGACCTGTTAGAGCTAAGGGATTTTTCGGGCTGCTGATCACGAATATCGTGTTAGTTTTGATCACAGATGATGTCTTAGCATTTAGACCACGTCGGGTCAGGTCAGGTCAGGTCAACCGGTAGGGGTCGTGACGGGTATTCGTAGTACGTG